CAATTATTCATTTTAGAGAACTTGTCCAAACGTTTATTGAGCGAAATTTCGGGTTGTGTTTTCTAAAAGTAACAGCGTGACAGTTCCCATTATTGACTACTAGTTAATAATGTCCACATTATTCACTTTGAACAAATGCCGAGAAAGCCTACTTTACAAGTGGAAAAAAGGTTAATAATCATGTCATCAGACGCTAGTAGTGAAAAAACAAATTTTTCTGATAACTGTCATGAATTTCGGTACATTACCTACAACCTACTACATACCTAAACGGTATCAGGCGGTTTACCAATACTTTCAGAAGAGTTTCAGCAGACATTCGGACTTATGAAGAACTTTTCTACTTTTCCTAGTATAATGGGCGATTTTTCCATAAACTGTAGTAGCATTAGCTTGAAAAGAAGAGATCTCGGAAGATACTTCTTTAGCGCATTTTCCAACTCTTGTTGAAAGACGCTATTACGGCCACTTCCTTCGTCCGTCCGTCTGACATTTTTTGTTTTTTTTATTATCACGGCCTACTCCTGTTTATAAACATGTTTAATTATTGTATAACTGTTGATATTGAATAACTTAAACAATTCGGGGTTTAAGGCAGACATCCCTTATAAGACTATCGAATAGAGAAATAAAATAGTGGTAGTTCTATTTGAAAAAAATAGTTATGGCACATACGGAAATTTTACTATTTTTTGTGAACACCCTGTATCACTAAATTCAACTTTCTCATTAAGTGTTGCCTTTATAGTCCAGGGAATAGAGGGTTTTAACTTGCAAAATGAGAAGTAGTTCCAATTTCTCTTGCATGTCACAGACAGTCATCTGGAGGTTAAGAATCTAAGTTTTCGACCTCCCACTCCTTGTGCTTCCCCCGTACCACCCCCAAAACCCCTGAAATTTGGTTGGTTTGTTAGTTTTTCAATCTTATCTTTTTAATGGTTCACTTTAGAAAAAAAATACTGTTATCAGAAATTGTAGACCATAAAATTCTACACAACTTTGATATACACTACTTTTTTGTGAAATGTTTATTAAAAAAGATATTATGCTTGAGAGTTGGTTATATTTTTAAGAATTCTGACAATTGTATGTAAATGTTTTAACCAAATTTCATACTTTATCTCTATAATTAAGAGTTTTATGAGAAAATATCTTCAACTTATCGTGGTATAAATACCCTTACGCTGCACCCTTACAACAGGATGCATAATAATCAAACTTTCAACCCTTGCTAGTGAGGATATTTGAATCAGTGTGAGATTGTA